ATGGAGGAGAATGGATTGCGGCATGGCCATCCCCCCTGGGGGTGATTTCTTGCTTTCTGTCTCTCTGTCTCTGTCTAGCGAGCGCACGCGCCCTATAGCAAAATCCTCTCCAAAAAAAAAGAATAAATACTATTTCCTGAAACTTTTACTTGAATGCCTATATGGTGTACACTAGGTAGGGTTGTGAAATACATTTCTTAGTAAAAATAACAGTCATGGGACCAGCTGTTGGTGTAATGGCTATGTTGCTGGACTCCCATGTAGTCGACCGTGGTTTGAGTCCTGGACCCAGCTTGAACTCACGCCGGGTGCCTGTGCATGTGTGCTCAAGATCCGGAGAGGAGAATGGAGGAGAAGGGATTAGAGCAAGGCATCATCCCTAGGGGGTGATTTCTCGCTTTCTGTCTCTCTGTCTCTGTCTTTCTGGCGAGTGTACGTGCCCTACAGCAAAAACCTCTCAAAAAAAAAAAAAAAAAAAAGCAGTCAAAAGTTTGACAACCACAGTCTGGTCCACTCCACCTACTCAATGTAGAATTCTTCTCTATGGTGTCCCCAACAAATAGTCATTAGCCTTGGTAGGACAGTTCCTGGGATTAAGGTGCATCATCTTCCCAATGGCGGATTGCCGGCATCTGCTACGGATTTAGCTCGATCTAAGAAGAATCAGAAAAAAAGAGACAGAGTAGCAGTGGACACAGGCAGCATGAGCCTAAGCAGCCCAAGCAACTTGTGCCACCCAGACAAACTGGGCGCCTTTATTTATAGGGCAAAGTGACACTGCATACGTGTATTTCATGACATTCCATAGATAAGTTGCTGTGTTACAGACAATGAAAAGCAGGTAGTGTTAGGCCGAATTGACACAACCACCTCCATGTTAGACCCTCAAGGACAGAACCCAGGGAGTCTGAGACCACATAAGTAAACAAAGTAAGATGGGCCCTGACGATGCCAGAGCCAGGTCAATCTGACCTCAACTGAAAGTCCTAATCTAAACCTAAACATAATGACAGCTAGCTTTCACACACCCCCCTCCCTCAAGTGGAAAATTACTGACTGTACTTTCTGCATTGTGATTCGGAGCTATAAAAGATCCCTTTATCTTAGGCTCGGGGTCCCTGTGAAGGCCTGCTGCGATGGGCTGAAACTTGGACCCCAGCTAGCTGGAAAAATAAAAGCCTCTTTTGCAGTTGCATTGTCGTTGTCTTTTCTGTGTCTCCATCAGTTAGACCGATCTCTGGACCCTTACAGTAGCAAATCTATAAGGGCTTAGACATACTGGGCCAGGTTTATCCCTTGGCAATAATCATATCAAGGAAGAATCTCATTAAACTTATCTAGTGGAGAGAAGCTTAGCTGCAGGTGTGGGGAGGATACATTTTTATTTATTTTTTTTTTTTTGGAGAGATTTTTTTTTGCTACAGGGCGCATGCACTAGCCAGAAAGACAGAGAGAGACAGACAGAAAGCGAGAAATCGCCCCCCCCCCAAAGGGGATGGCCATGCCACAATCCCTTCTCTTCCATTCTCCTCTTGGAGTCTTGGGCATGCTCATATATGCGTCGGGGTGGGGGGTGGGGGGGAGTTTAAGCCTCCGGTCCGACTTGAACCGTGGTCGCCTACATGGGAGTCCAGCAACACAGCCATTGCACTAACTGCTAGTCCCAAGGGAGGATACATGTTTAAAACATAAAAAGGATGTTGATAAGGCTAAAGAATCTTGCCATAGGGCGGTCGCCACCATGACAAGAGAAGGCTAAAGAATCTTACAGAGGCAGAGCAGCAATTGGACTTTGCTAATTGGGGTCAGGATGTTTCTTGAATTCCGTGAGATGTGTCTGTTGGAAGGCCCCTAGAAAGTTCCACCCTTTGCTCTGCCTACAGCAAGGGTCAAGGAAAGAACAAACTGCAAGGTCCTGTCATAGCCAAAAGGGACAGGTGATGTTTGCTCAGAACATGTCCCCACACCCTTATGGCCTCTCTCCGAACATGTCCCTATGGCAGACGTAAGTATATGGAATTTACTTTGAAATGTATCAGAAAAAAATTGATAAATAGGTAGATAAACGAGATTAACCAAGTACAGCAAATGTAATGGTAGAATCTATTGTTGTCAGAAAAGTCATGACGCAGGACCAGCAGTTGGCGTAATGGCTATGTCGCTGGACTCCCACGTAGTCGATTGCAGTTAAAGTCCCAGACCCGGCCGCTTAAACTCACGCTGGCGCGTGTGCGTGCATGCCCAAGATCCCAAGAGGAGAATGGAGGAGAAGGGATTGATATGGCCATCCCCCCTGGGGGTTGATTTCTCACTTTCTGTCTCTCTGTCTTTCTGGCTAGTGTGCATGGCCAATAGCGAAAAAAACTCTCCAAGGAAGAAGAAGAAAAAAAAAAAAAGAAAAGAAAAGAAAGAAAAGCCAGGATACATTTTTGCATAGAAAAACAGAAAATATCATGAGTTTTCCAAGAACCCAATAGGTGGTAAGTTTGAGATAAACAAACAATCACTGTAAAATTCTTTCAATTTTACTGTATATTTGAAATTTTCCCTAAAAAATTAAGGGGAGAAAATTGTATGGAGAACTCTAATAGGGAAAAAATGACTACACTGACTTAAAATCAGCCACCTGTAATTTTAATGCACTGACTGTCTTCTTCCTTTCTTCCCTTGTCCCTTCCCTGCTCCTATCCAACCTATGACAGAAATATCTAACCCCTGTTCTAAAAGACAGCATTTCAGATAGAAAATGACAACTGTTGTCCTTCATAATCCACCCAGGGGTAGACATAATAGACCGTTAAGGTCACATGGCATATCTCCCTCTGGATACGGTCCAGTTATTAGTATCCCATTAAATGCTTGTCTCACTGTTTCCCATCTGATGACTATGCTCATTGAGCAAAAATTTGGAAATAAGAGGAATTTATTATTTATCCTCTGTCCTTTCCATTTGTTAACATTGTGTGTGCTACATCTTTATTTTTTCTCTAAAGATAACTATTTTAAAATTTTTACACCTTAAAAAATTTTTTAAGGTTTTTGTCATAGGATGCGTGCACTTGCCAAAGAGAGACAGAGGAAAGGGGAGGAATCACCCCCCAGGAAGGATAACCACACTGCAATCCCTTCTCCATTCTCTTTCTGAAATTTTGGGCATGTATTCACATGTGCCTGGCATGACTTTCAAGCTGCCAGGTCCAAGACTCGAACTGTAGTCAGCCAGGTGGGAGTCCAGACTTTAACCACCATGCTGGCCCCTAAACATTTTTTGTTATTATTATTCATGTGTGTGTGCACATAAGAGCGAGAGAGAAAGAGAGAAAATGGGAGTGGGGAGAAATGAGCACTTCCACAGAGTCCAGTCACATCACAATGTCCTTCCTCCATCCTCCACCCCATTGGATCTAGGGCACTCATGTGAGAGCCAGGTGTGTTTTAGGCGGAAAAGAGATTCCAACCGTGGCCACCATGTGAGATCTGGCTTCTCTTCAGTAGCATATCACATTGTACCACAGATCCAGTCTATGAACATAACATTTAAAGAGTTACTTTTTATTGAAATTCTGTGTTAGGCCAAACTGTGGCCTTGTGGTTAAGATGGCTGGATCTCACGTGGCATATCATACAGTTTAGGTCCCAGGCCTGGTGACTGGAAAAACCCACCAGGCACGTTTGCATGCATGCCCAAAATCTCAAAAGGAGGGAAAAATAGAGGAGAAGAGATTGCAGCATGACTGTGCCCTATGGAGAGTGATTTCTTGCTTCCGTCTGTCTCTCTCTCTCTGACTCCTATCAACAAATGTACACTCCCCCTAGCAAAATTTTTTAAATTTTGAATTATTTTTGATTGATAAACATAGTAATATACATTATGGAATCCATGTGATGTTTTTATAAATGTTTATACTATGGCATAAGTC